ATACATCATTGTAAAGAAGTTCTTACCTTAACAATTATTGTATAGGGAGTTTCTCTCATTCTCTTCATTTATTTGCTCATTCCAGCTCTATGTATCACCAACTCTGTGAGTTATTAGTGGTGCAACACTGGGAATGTTATTAGAAATTCTTGACCAAAATTTTTGACCTTTGTCAAAAGAAAAACAGCGATGATTTTGGTGAATGATTGAATATTTTTACTCGTCTAATAGCTTCTAACTAATGCCATGGAAATAATCCTCAGGTACAGTCATAGAAAAAACATAACTTGGGAGTCTGACAAACGTGGGTTTAACCCATGTAATGCAGTTTGGCAAAATAAGTTCACCTCTTTGTGTTTCCTCCTCTGTAAAGTGAAGATAACAATCTTACCATGTAGGGCTATTTTAAAAGTTAAATTAGAACATGAATAACAACTGCTTAGCACGTGATAAGCACTCAGCAATTATCAGTTTCCTATCTTGTCACTTCCATCTCCCAGATATGCTTCATTTAGTTGTCAAGATAATGTGATGACTGCTTTAGGGATACAACATATATTCCAGTTAAAAGGCATCGTTTCTGGCCAGAAAAACATATGGCCAACACACATGAGTAAATTGAATTGCATAGGCAGTTTTTCTAATGAGTATTTCTTCCTCATCCACATTATGGTTTAAGCATGTCTGGAATTCTAAACAGTTAATAGTGTGAAATCTGATTGATTTAAAAAGGAGGATCAGGGAATGTTGCAAAGATTAACCAGCTGATTTGTGTCCTAGTATAATTTTCAAAAATAAAACAGCATGACTCTCGTACAAATATAGAATAACCATATGTCAATTATTTTATTCAAATCATTAATTAAAGAGGGAACCAGTAAGATAATAAGGGTAGTTCAGAATGTCCTAGGAATGGTGATGCATGTAGTCAATCAGTGTAAGAAATGCTGAAATTAATTCAGTAAGAGATACAAAATTTATTGATGCCCTATAGAGTAATAAAACTGTAACCTTTGAAATTGGTTTTCATATTGAAGAGACATCTAAAAGTTTCTATGTGACTTAGTGTCTGGATTCTAACCAAGTAGTAAATAGCAAAACCAAACAAATATGCATTCCCCTAGATAATTAAATAAACTTTGTGTGAGCCTTTTAAACAACATTCCAATATGACATACAAAGAACATGGAGTTACCCTTTATGCTTTATTTCCAAGTCTTATATTTTTTCCTAACAACAATAAGCTCGTTGTTGATTGACTATAGTACTTAAATACAGGTACTGATGAACAGCCTTATTTGGGTTTGTTGTTGTTTTTTTTTTTAATTAACCGCATCCATCATTGTTTACAACTTTGAGATTAACTGATGCAACAACAGTCAAAATATCACATTTACTACTCAAATAATTTTTCTAAGGAATGCAGCAACTCCCTCTTTCTCTTCCCCCCTTTCTTGATCATAATTTAACATTTCATTAAAAATGAAATGACATACGTGCGGCAAGTTTCTAAAACAGTAACAAGTTATTAAATTTCTACAAAGATCTTAGTATTGGGTGACCCTCAAAAAGTTAAGTGCAAGAAAACTCTCGTTTGCCCCATCTGCCCACAGAAACCACTGAGAATAAAGATATTTTAAGGTTCAATCCTCTTAAAAGAAGTAGGAATTCAGGTTTTAAGTGACAAACTGTCTGGTAGCTCCAGGGCTGGCCTGAGGCAAAACTGTAAAATCTGCGAGGTGTGATTTCTTGTTCTCTCACTCTCTTTGTGGCTCCTCTGTACCTGTCTCTGCCCATCTGTTCATGCCAACGTTCACAGATCTGGGCTATTCAGTCTACTCTCCAGTGATACTCTGCTCCGGGCTGCCCTTTCTAGCAGATGCCTAGGACGTGGGAATGTTCTCAACTGAAGGAATTAGAAATTCCTATTCCTCTTTGTATTTGAATTCATTGCACATGCACAGATCTTTCTGGAAGTGATTTCTGCTAAATGTAAGAAACTGCTTGGTGTGAATATGTCAGCGTGCTCTTCATCGGACATAATAGTATGTGTGTATATGGAGGGGGTGTATTTTTTGTGTTTAAGTGTGTGTAGTTTACCTAGTATATGATGGGACTTTGTGGAGACCAGCTTCCTTAGGATTCCTCTAAACCAAACCTGCAAGCAGTCTTATTGGGATGGCCCTTATTGACTGAGACACTGACGGGCAATGCTCAGACTAATGCCACCCTTCACCTGCATTAATGAAGTATTTATTATGCCATGAGTCTGATATCATGTCAAATATCTTTTTTCTCTGTCATCTTCTCAGACATTGAAGAGTCTGGATACATGATAAGGTCTTTTTATTAAAAGAAATGACTTGAAAGGTAATTTTAAAATGANCTGGATACATGATAAGGTCTTTTTATTAAAAGAAATGACTTGAAAGGTAATTTTAAAATGACCTATATCTTGGTAACTATGTGAGGGAAAATTCTCACTACATGTCGCAGCGGAGGTACCCCGTACAGCCTACCCACGCATGTGTGGCTGTCTGACCCTTGTTTTCCCATTTTAAAATCTGCAATGTATTTTATGCATTTTGAGCAAAAGTAAAATTATGTTAAAGCAAACTCACTACTATAGCATGGACATAAGTTATTTCAAGTGAAAAATGTATCAACTGCATGTCTACAATATAAATGGCACTCTAAGGATTGCAAAAAATACAAATATCATACAATAGGCCAGAGGTTCTCAAACTTTCTCAGTTCACAGCACTCTTAGTGTCTCTAGGATTTTTTTCATAGCACTCACCTAATGAAAAGAAAGAAATACCAAACAGTTTTATTTATTAAGTCATCAGGTCCAACCAGCTTATTATATCACAACTTAAATAGCCATTTGAAAAATAATACACACAAATTGAAAAAAAATTTTTTTTTAAAGTTTTATTCATATTTACTAATGGAATGTATATGCCTGTTGAACACAGAGCAAATTCTCAAACATTGGGATCAAATTGAACACTACTTCCTTCATTTTTGCCCCATATTACTTTGTGCATAGTAATTGTTTTTTATCACAGCAACTACCCAAAAAAACAGCTGTGGAGAATGTGACATCATGAAAAGGAATATAGCATAATCTAATATTGAAATCGAGAACTACCATGAGTTGTAGTTCATGCAGTGACTGACAAATGTCAACTGTCACTGGTTCCCTTGAAAATTTATTTTTATTTTATTTTTTTTTTACATCACAGTTTTAGGATTAACAAAACTTTTCCAAGGCAATTTTAACTAGAAATGACCATCAAAAAAGGATGTTTATTGTAGTATTCCTAATTCATGGTTTTAAGGCCCCTGAGATCTACTTTAAATAATAGTTACCCTTGAGTTCATTTTTATGCAAAGTCAAGATTCTATAATATGAATAATTTTCCTAATACACATTTTAAAATTTAGATCTAAACATCTTTGAAAAGCAGTAAGTATCTTTCTACCATCCTCATTTATTTAAGTCCTTCAGACTCTAAAGTAAAACATATTGGCTAATTAGAATCATCATTTACTTCCTTCTGCTTGAGTCATTAATTTAAAAAAGTAAAGAGACATGGTAAAACATTTCAAGGTAACAAACTGGATTGCACTAATTATGCTTAAAATATCATAAAGCATTACATTAAAATCTGTATCATTTGACCTTGGTGAAAAGAAATCATATCCTCTTTTCAGTTAAAAAAAATTCAGTTTCCAGGGACTTGAGAGTATAGCTAATCTAAATGAACTGGAAATCATTCTCAGACAAATAAACATATTATGAGATAGTAATGGATAGAGAGATACTGTATCTCTTTGGTTATAAAATCAGCACATATGCTATCTAAATGAGATAAACACACAAGAGCTATCATCGTGGAGGAGGCAAAATCAAGTTGAAAAGTTTCTTCCAAAACATTTTCTACTCTTGTATATCAACTGTAGAATATTTAAGACCCCACACTCTATTACATCACAACATTGTTTATTATGTGAATTTTTTACAATACAAACAAAAAATACAGAAATGCAATATATGAATACAGCTAAATGCAGAATGGTGACTTTTTTTCTCTTCAAGAGGCCATGATTCCCATTTCTAGTAAAATAAAGAGACTGCATATAGGTAGAAACAGGTTGGTCATTAGCTTCACAACTTTGCCTAGAAATGACCTATAAATGCATTTTCCCCCCTGCTACTTACCATAAAGTGTAAAAAGGGAGTTAAAGGAAAGTTCCCTTGTTGGTTCCTACCATATGAAATATGCTATATTCTATTTTAGCAGGACCAATATATGGAAAATATCTAAATTAAATGTTATTACAAAAATGAAGAAGTAATGAAATTCTGGCTAAAGAGGGCACTAAATGAGAATAATATATATTTAAAGAATCCAAAACAAACAAAAAAGGTTGTTATAAAAAAGCTCTAGGTGCACTGTAAGTATATAGGTTTCTTTTTCCATGTGTATTTTTAAACAATGGAAGTGTCAAAAATAGGGTCAACTGTGTTAGACTAAATTACATTATTGTATATGCTGCACTGAATGGAACCTTTGTATTATAATTATCATAGAGAAGCATAGTTCGCATCATATTATGGCAATTTATCCTCAGTGAAAACCTTCCATAGTCCTTTTATTTTGGAATATCCTATAAACAATCAAACCACCAGAACATGATTGTACAACAGTAAAATGTTCTCTTGCATTAAACCAAAGATATCTGTTTAATAAAAAAAAGAAAGAAAAGAAAAGAAAACATAGGAAAGGTACTTAGAGCTGTTACTTTCTAAGTACACAACATCCTAGACAATTCAAAGTATCTTAATCTCCATCAAGAACAACAAAAAAATAATTTTTGTCATGCTGTTAAATCCATCATTATGGATAAAACTGGTGCAAATTGGTCAAACGGATCCAACAAACACTGATGTCTGAGCTGGCATATTGGCAACTAATACGTCACTAGTGGTCAATAGATAGTTTAAAAGATCTTCCCTTTCTTCTTGTTCTTTTCCAAGGTTCTCGAAGAGTTTTGTTGTTCTAAAATACGTTGCTGAGCTTCCCAGTTTGCTTTCTCATCCTCGAACTGACGACGTTTTTCCTCTAATTCCTTGTGCTGTGCTTCCAAATTCTTTTTCATTTGCTCATGGCGCTGCTGGAGCTCTGCTTCAGAGTCCTTCAGTTTTTGAACTTTTTCTTTGACCTTCATCTCAAACACCTGCTCCATCTCCATCTCCATCTTCTTCATCTTAGCTACATGCTCCTTCCTTTCTTCCTCCATCTGTGCCAGAGGGCTCTTAGTAAGCTGCCCTTTATTCTTGTTGTTATCAACTCCATTGTAAGTCACAGCTGCCAGTTTTCTGCTTCTATAGTTCTCATAGTGCACATTATTGGTAACATCTTTCAAGTCCTGCATGTGTGTCCTTATCAACATATTTCTTAGAATTGTAAAATCACAATGCTCACCATTTTCAACTTCAGCAACACCCCAAGGATACTGCCTTCCTCTGACCCGTTTGCCATTAACTTCAATGATAGTTATTACTACCTACCACAGCAAGAGGTAAACGGTCCTTTATCTTTTTAACAAGCTTATTTTCTTCTTAATCATCTGTTTCTGGAAATTCATGTATTTTAATTTTATGTTCTTGGATTTCTTTCATTATCTGTTTTTTAAACTGTTGGCATTCCTCCGGTGTGAGCATGCCTGCTTTGGCAATAAGTGGGATGATATTCACTTTTTCATGCAAACGCTTCATGAACTCAATATCCAATGGTTTAAGTCCATGTCCCGAAGGAGCAATGAAGTATAAACAACACTGCACCCTGCTATCAGGCATCTGACGTCTGTTCACTCTTGATTCCGCATTTAGGTAGTTCTCAAATTTACTATCAATGTAGTCAATAACAGGCTGCCAGCAATTACTATTATCCACTGCATCTCCAAATCCTGGGGTGTCAACTATTGTGAGCAGCAACTGAACACCACCTTCTTTGATTAAAACTTTGGATTGTTCCACCTGTACGTCTTTTTTATTCTATGGGAAGGACCTGGATACTCTGGAGAATACAAATCTGTGAGGAATAATGAGTTGATTAATGTTGACTTTCCCAGTCCAGACTCACCTACTACCATAAGTGTGAATTCAAACCCTCTCTTCACCGATTTTCTGTACACTTGATTTGGGAGATAGGCAAATCCCACATAGCCTTCAAGGTTCTTCTGTTGAGCTACTTTGTAAAGAACACATTTCCATCATTCCAGTGTTCCATGGTGCTGCCAGTCCAGACTCACCTACTACCATAAGTGTGAATTCAAACCCTCTCTTCACCGATTTTCTGTATACTTGATTTGGGAGACAGGCAAATCCCACATAGCCTTCAAGGTTCTTCTGTTGATCTACTTTGTAAAGAACACATTTCCATCATTCCAGTGTTCCATGGTGCTGCTGTTGACGCTCCTCTCCTCAGCAGCAGTGGATCTCACACTGACCGACATCCCCCCCCTTGAAAATTTATAATATCCAGCAGCACCCTTATCAATTCACTGCAGAGCCCAAGAGAGCAACGGTGCACAGTTTGGGAGCCAGGCCAACCTATGCTACTATTTAAATTCTCAAATAATTTAAAATTAAGTACTAATTACTTTAATAACTATTATGAAAATAGAAAATACTTTCTTTGAATACAGCATTTGGAAAGATCATATCTGGCTCTAAAAAAAGAAAAGTAAATTTTAAGGAGAATCTTGAAGTTTGGGTAACATTTTAACAGGTAATATTTTAACAGGTAAAGATGGAGGAATTGCCCTTAACTCTGTAATTGTCAGAGTTACAGGTCATTCTGAATGTTTCAGTGTAGGTTATGAGCAAGATGCTGTGGGTGAAAAGACAAGTAATTCACAAAGACTACCTTCAGAAATCTCACTCATCTTCCAGTAAACAGAGGCAGAGCCAATTGCCAAGCTTGTGCAGAACACATAGTATGGGTGCTGGAGAGTAGGACAGAGTTATCAAAACTAAGGCTAGCAATCAATTTTTTTACAATAAAAAATAAATTAAATTAAATTTTAAAAAAAACTAAGGCTAGAATATGGATCAAACCATATTTACAATACCTTCAATGTCATTATAGGAAATTGATATACAATAAGAAATGATCTAGATCTCTGTTACTATCATTACTAGCAAACTATTGAGAAATATCAACTAATATCAACAAACAAAATATTAAAACTTATCCCAAGCATAATTCATATCCTTTAATGGACCTATCAGATTAATGAGCAAAAATTCCAAACCAGATGAGCAAAACATCTTGAATTTAAATGGAACAATTCTTATTCCATTTTTATTCATTTCCCAAATGAATCACACTGTTGCTCTCTACTTTTTGCCAAATCAGAATACATTTATAAAATAAAACATATTAATAATTTTACCCAAACCTTTTAAAAGTGCTTGTGTAACACCAATACAATTTATAATTTAGCTGCTACTGACATTTGGTTTTAAGCTTAAATTGAAATTATTGTGCCCATCTATCCAAACTTTTACTGAGACTTTTCAGAAACCTACATGGCTTAGAAACATACACATACTGGGCAAGATATTAAAGTATTTCTCAAAATATTACAGTACTTCATTAAAAATGGTCTCCCTCAAGGTATTAACTAACTTGAAATCCATAATAAGCATGACAAATATTTTAGTATGGCTGTCTTAATTAGAATGAAGTTCTTCATGGATTAAAGACTCCCAGAATGTTGTCCTGAATAGATGTCCATGGAAACCACAAAGCAGGCCTGTAGAATTCTGGTCCTAAGAACTAGTTTGAGCTTTATTAGTAACAACCACCAGCATAACTAAGATATATATGGATCATTTCAAATTACAAATAGAGAGATAATCATATCTAATCTCTACAACCATCTTTAAAGGTATTACTGATTATGTTCTACGGCGTATGCCCCGAGCGAATAATGACAGACACTCACTGTCAAAGTCAGGATTTAGGGATTTTAATTCTTGGCTGGCTGGCTGTCTCCCCAGAAAGCCTGGTCAGAGGACAGCCCCAAGCCTCATTAGGGAAAAGTTTATAAAGGCAAAAAATGCATCCTGTTTGGCATACAGGATGTTTTGCAAGAGAAAGCAAGCTGTTTTACAGAAGCCAAAATAAGTGGGTTAAGCCATTTCTATTGGCTCCTTTGCCTGTCTTCAGGCAGAGTTCCTTAAATCAGGGGTCTTCTAACAGATGGTTAACTAGGTTACTGTGGTTGTGACTTAAAACTAGGTAAAAAAGCTTTTTGGGGTAAGGGTCTTTATCACACCTGGGTGCAAGGGCAGGAAGTGCAAGGGAAGGATGTTATTTGAGGAGGTCTGCTTTAGAGAGCAACCCTGTTTCTCATCTACACAAAAGAGCTGGCAGTCTGTGGTTTTCTTGCTAACATAGGAACAGGCTTGTGACCACAGAGCTACAGAGTACAGAAATGCATTTAGCTGTTTTTACAACTGGAACAAAGATGGAGTCAGTCATGTTAGCTTGCAACAATTATATTTCTTTTCTTGATGAGGAAGCTAAAGCTCAGAGAATTTAAGTGTTGACTGAAGATCATAGTGCATAAAAGATGCTACTCTCTAATCTAGAGCTTTCGACTCATGTTTTATATGCTTTCTAATAAATATCTTGCCATTGAGGAAATAGATGATTGTATTAGTCCATTTCTGTTGCCTGTAACAGAAATACCTGAAACTGGGTAATTTGTAAAGAAACTGTATTTATGCTTACAGTTTCAGAGGCTGGGAAGTCCAAAGTCCAGGGAACTCATTTGGTGAGGGCCTTGTCAGTAGTGACTATAAACAGTGATGCGGGGTCTCACATGGCAGATGGCAGAGCTGAGAGAGCGAGCTAACTCCTTATTTCTCCTCCTTTTAAAGCCCTCAGAACCATGCCCATGACCACCATTAAACCATCAATGGATTAAACCATTTACTTGGGCAGGGTCCTTACAATCCAATCACCTCTTCAAGGCCCCATCTTTCAATTACCATAATAGGATTTCCTACCCTCTTGACATTATCACAGTGGAGACATTCAATCCACAGCAGTGATAGACCATCAGATGTGATTTGAGAAGCTCTATGTTTTCCAGCCATTAATAGACATACTCTCCTCTGCTAGGGGCCGAAACATCTGCCATTTTGGCCATTTTCTTGGATTCAATCATTAGATAACTTTCAAAATGAAAATGTTAACTTAGTTGTAGATAATATATGTGAACAATTTTAATATGCTTCCTGACATATAGAAAGCATCTAATAAATGCTTGTTATTATTTTTTAATGACTGCATTAACACTCAATCTATTAGTAAGAGGTCATTTGTCAAATTAACTGTCACAGAGAAAATAGGACAAAGAGAGATAAATTTGATCTGGAATAGGGAAAGAAAAAAGGGTCTGTTCCAAACTGCATGCTGATTCAGAGACACTGGCAGATGGGTCACTGTGATGTTTTTAATACTGATGGTGTTAAAGGGAAGAGAAGGATACTACAGCCAGGCTTTAGATTTTTTTCTTCAGGGAAACCATAAGGATGATTTTTATCCTCCCATGTTCTCTTCTTTTCAGCATTTGAGTGCTGGCAGCCTGCTCTCCACTGCTGGCTACATGTTACGGCAAGTGGTAATCAGAAAGCACTCTTCAAACCAAAAGAAAACTTAAGAATCACACTACTGCGTTGCCCGATTCCAGCTCTCCATTGGATTGCCTAAGATTGCTTTAAGGGTTTGAAACTGTTGCCTTAAGAAGCTGGATGTGAAGTTTTTGTGTATATATCTTTTGTCTTCCTTTTCATTCAGTACAGCTGCACCAACTTCCATTAACTCTGGCTCAAACAGCACTTTGTAAGGGGAAGTTTATAATCTGTCTGCAGCTACAGTCTCCTCCAGAGCATTCCATTCCTCGCCCCCAACTGGCAGGACCATCTGTACTCTCTCTCTCCCCAAGCAAGGCCCTTTGTGCCAAGTCCTTCTCTAGCCTCACACCTCACTCCAAGGAAAGCATACAGATAGAACTCTGAGCTGGCAGGCAACTTTAAAACACTCGACTTTACTATAACTCTGGATCATATGCTCCGAATCTGGTTTATTTCAAATCACGCAAATCCAGAAGAACTACTGATGAGTCTTATCAGCCAGAACCACAAGTTCTACCATATCAAATCCCCTGCAGATCCAATACTACAGAGACGAGCTTTAAATAATAAATGCCGTGGTCATCTTGGGGATCGTTACTATTTTCTTTCCATCAAGTTCAAGTTAACAAAGCCTTTTCCAAAAGGTTCAACTCACTAATTTTAGGAATTTTACACTCATAATGAGTAAGTCCCCAAGCACTGAAAAGATTATCTATTTGAAACTATCATATTCTCTCTTCTTCTGCCTCAATTTCATCCCACCTGTGAGTGCTTTAAATGTTAATTTATCATACATACAATGTGTTTGTGTGTAAGTAGGTACTCATAAAACATTAAACGACTTTATATGGAAATGGAGTATCTCACCTAGCACTTTCATTCTTTTTAATGACCACCCAGAGTTATTGGCGTATAAAGGAAAGAGAACAATTTGCAAGTCAGAGACCCCATTAAGACAATCAAAATTTTGACTGTACATTGGAATCATCTGAGGAACTTTAAAAAATGCAAATGCTTGGGTTCCTCTCTCAGTGATTCGGATTTAACTGGAACAAGGTGTGGCCTGAACATCCAGACTTTTACAAGCTCCTGGGGTGATTCTAATATGTGGTTATGGTTAAGAGCCATTGTCTCAAAGAGAAGGACCCCTGCCACGTGCCTTGCTTCCAATGGTGGGCACTGACACATACCAGGCCACCGCTGGCATGTTACATCTTTAAAATGCAGGGAACTTAGGATGTTTACTTACTAAGGCCCAGCAGATGTGCTAAGTGTGTCACATTGCCTCATTTCATTTTGAAGACAATCTACGAAGATGGAATTGGATTGCTATTTTTCAGGTAGTGAAATTAATATGTTCCTGTCACGATGATGAACTAGCAAGAACTGTGGGCTGCTTCCCATCAAAATAAAATGCTGGAGAAACTACTGAAGCAAGAGGGGAGCACGGATCTAAAGAACAAATAAAAAAACTTCCAGAAACTCCTCGGGAGTTTGAAAGCTCTTGCATTCTGGAGGATGTCTGCACAGACAGCAGGAGCTATGCTGGGGTCTGGAGCAGAGGCTGGACGGGGACAGCAGGGAGGAGAGTTTGGAGAGTGTTCACTTCTGCCCCTGCCTCCCCACCAGACCTGCACCCCCCACACATACACAGGAGCAACAATCATTGGCCACACCATCACCTCAGGA